TGGTCCATGGCATGATGTATACGTACTTTTGGATGAAAAATTATAAATTTTGAGCCGTCGAACGGTACCAGTACATGCGGTTTTAAAAGTGTTCTTTTTGAAGCCCTCCCGGAACAGGTTTTGGGTATCCGGATGTGGCCAGTACCACCTATTGGTCCATGATTTCTATTTACTTGTGGATAAAAAATCATAAATGTTAAACCGTCGGACGATACCAGTACATAAGGTATAGGAAATGTCCTTTTTGTACCCTACCAGAACCGGTTCCGGGTGTCCAGGTGTGGCCAGATCTATCTGTTGGTCCATGGCATGATGTCTATTCACTTCTGGATGAAAAATCATAAATTTTGAGCCGTCGGACGGAGCCAGTAAATGAGGTTTTGGAAGTGTCCAACCGGTTCCGGGTGTCCAAATCTATCTGTTGGTTTATGGCATGATGTCTATTTACTTCTGGATGAAAAATGATTTAATTTTAGTCGTCGGAAGATAACAGTACATAAGTCTTTGGAAGTGTCCTTTTGTGCCCTATCGGAACCGGTGCCAGGTAGCCTAAATGGTAAAATTGGAAAAGTCCTGGGCAGGGTGCCATTTTAGGAACCTTCATCTTTCATTTGAGGCCAATAGATCAAAAATGTGGGAGCGAGTTGCAGTTTGGGTCTTTTTTAACCCGCTAATGTACAAAGTGTAACTTTTTCCCAATGCATTAGGAAGGTGAACTGCCCTGTAGTTTTTGGAATTTACCCTTAAAAATCTCATAGTTCTGAACTTTTCTGTAGTGCTCGGAACATACCTTAAGTTTATTAAATTTATCTTAATGTTTCAGAGGTTTTCGAAGTTGCTCTAATAAATACTTCCCTGTTTTTTCTGGACTTCCCTAAAATTTCACAGAACTCCTATGAAATTCCGCAATGTTTCTACACTTCGAGATCGCTTAGTGTGAATTCAAAAATGACATACTGTCTTTGAAAATGTACGCAACATGAGCATACAAGGTGGCCAGGCATGGAAAATCATTTACATTCATTTGCCTCTAACTTTTTTCATCAACAGCATTCCGCAAAATGATGTATAGAGCTTTAGTAGGTTTTGTTATTAGCTACAACTTTTGTCCATAACTCAAATCTGTATCTCTTATACATCACGAATTAGAGCGGGCAGAACCTGTTACTGTTTTTCAGTGAATGTAAAATACATTCACTGAAAAACAGTAGTGGATTCTGATCGCTCTGATTCGTCATGCATAAGAGATACGGATTTGAGTTGTTATCAAAAGTTGTAGCTTATAACAAAACCTACAGAAGCTCCATACATTTTTTGCGGAATTCTGTTGATGAAAAAAGTTAGAGGTAAATGAATGTAAATGAATACACGAAATGAATGCAAATGATTTTCCATGCCTAAAGGTGGCACAATTAAAATCAAAATGATTGTATTTAATCTAAGACAACATATTAAGAAGACTGGCAACTCTTCCATTTTCTCGTACGACCGCTTTAAGGCAGGTACAATCTCGTCATCTGCCGTTCCAAGGTAAATGCTTCGAACTAGTTTTATAGCAAAGATAACATCCTCAGAAGAAAGGTTTGTGTGTTTGCTCATTGCGTTGCTTCCACCTTCGCTCAAGTGCAGCGCTACTGTATCTGTCGCTTGGATTCTGGCAAAGTTGCCAGTCTTCTTGATATGATGTCTTCGATTTAATGGAAGCCTTTTTCACAAACATTTGTTTATTTTTTTTTAATTTTAAATTTCGCTACTATTAAATCTACGTTATGTTCGATGTTTGCAGCTACACGTTGCTCATATTAGCGCACTGATAGGCGTCCAAAATTCGCTTATGTGCAGCTTTTATAAACCAAGCGCATGTGATCGATATTTCGGCGCCGAGTTAGCTTTTATTAAAAAAAAATCAAATAAGCTTTCGGAGCTCGATACTCATAGAATAACCATGAGTAAACACCCTGATAGGCCTGTTTTGGAGTGTCCATTGTGTTGATTTCAGAAAATTTTGCATTTTTGATAAGATTTCAAATAAACAAAATTTTTAAAATTTGTGATTATTTGTCAGTGTTAATTTTTTTTCTGAAAAGGCAATCTAATTTCCTACAACTTTGTCTCAGACGTCATTTCGATAAGTTGACCCGTTTTCATACTATGATTTATTGAAAAATTATCAACAATTAAGGCCTGTACTCGAAAAAAATGCACCAGACAAAAGTGTTCGCCAAAAATTTATTTTAAGTCAGATTTTCTTGAAACTTTCAGGGAATGAACTAATACATATGGATTATGTTTCAGCATAATTACTTTATTCAATTTCCTTTCTATCGCTGAAAGCCCGCACCCTTCCCTTAAGACCGCTTATTACATTTTGTGCAATGGTGGAGCCGACCTTTTTGGTCACTTTCATCCATTCTTTCTTCAACTCCAGCTCGTTCTTAAACACCTTGGACGATTTTCGAACTTTGGCCTTCATTATGGCCCAAAATCTTTCCACCGGACGAATCTCTGGTGAATTTGGGGGGTTGGCGGTTTTTGGTACAAAAACAACGTTATTGTCTCTGTACCAATCCAACGTCGATCGCGTGTAATGGCATGATGCCAGGTCCGGCCAAAATAATGTCTCGCCTCCGTGGGACCGCAGGAAGCGCAACAGACGCTTCTGGAGGCACTCGGTGTGGTAAATTTCGCTGTTGATGGTACCCATTGTGATGTACGGTTTACTAAGTTTACCGCATTGGCATATGGCCTGCCAGAGCAAGTATTTTTGGCGAATTTGCCAATTTCTTCTTCCTTATGTCTTACGGAACATCAAACCGTGATTTGGCAACGTAGAACTCCAGCCCCGGTATCTGCTTTGCGTCTGCCTTGATGTAGGTTTCGTCATCCATAACCACATAACACATCGGTTCCGTTGACCACTCTCACAGCTTCCTTGTGCGGGATTTGGCCGCCGTGTTTTGTTGATCACGTCGGTTTGGTGCCTTCCGGACCTTGAATACACGAAACCCAGCTCGTTTCATGGTTTGCTGAACGAACCAGGCGATACACTTTGCCTTCAGAGCCGCGTCGCGAGTCGAAAGGTTCGTATTACGCTTGAAATAATCCAACACCTTCCGGGCCTTCACAGGGTCAGCTGTCTTCGATTTTCTTCCACTTCCAGCCCGCCGCTCGGTCGTCTGGGACTCCTTAAACGATGTTACCACCCGAGACACAGTTGTATGGGTGATTCCCAGTTGTCTTCCGATCCATCTCATGGTCGCAGTCGGATTTTCCATGACGGTGCGCAAAATTCTCCGGCGATTTTCTTCTTGTTTCGATGACATCTCAATAATCACTGAACCGATTGTTATGAAATTTTGCACATGTAAACAATTCACTCCAAACTAGTCATACCCAGATTTTCATCAATTTTTACCCACGGCCTTATGCGAAGTTTCATGGAACTCTGAGAGGGAAAAATAAAATAGATTTGACAGTTGGCGCAAATAAACAATACGGAATTAAACAAAACAGCAATCTCCAAACGGTTTTCTGTGACTAGCGAACAGCCAAACTGGACCTCCTTGGTCAAACGCTTGACTGAAAATTAATAGAAGAATTCCAAGCGGGGTCTGACTCAGAACTTCTTAAGAAAAGCCTGTGGGGATTGTGAGGCGAATTCTTGGTAAATTCTAAGGAAAACTCCAACAGAATGTATTGGAATTTTAGGAATATTATCAGCAATACTTTGAGATGACCACGAGACTTGGTAGCTCAGTGGTTACCGTTTCTGCTTACTGAGCAGAAGGTCGCCAGTCCAATCCCAGGTCCGTCCCTTCCTTGCAATTTTTCACTTTGCCTTATTCTATCCCCACTAGATTTAAATGAAAACGAATTCTGCTTTAACCAACCGATATAATATCACTTACAACAAGTGAATCCTGATCTAAAAATAACCCACCTCACTAACACAACTATCCTTCCCATGAAAGCCGTGGAGATCCTTCCCTCCCCAAAAGACCGCGAGGACGTTGCCGGGCGCTGTGATTGATCTATTATATATTGATTGAATTAGTGAGCTTGTACATTGAAGATGGAAAGCTTATCCCATGCACCATCTACTACGTGGTTATCTGTGCAAGTTCATTTTGATTTTCATCAATCAAGGAGGAGCAACTACAAAATGCACGGTCTTTAAAAAAATATTATCAGCGAAATTTTGAAATGAATTCAAAGGGAATTGTAAAAATATTTCGTAAGATATATTCCAAAAACAATTTGATTTAAATTCTAAATGCATGCCAACCGAGTTAGTTTTCTTTATTATCTAGACTTTCAGTCGTGAATTACGATAACAATTTAAAGGAAATCAATATCTGTTTCACAGGTTCAAAGGAATTTTAAGGCTATCTTTAACTATTAGGATAGTTTCATGAGAATCGCGGGGAATATTCCAAGCGAATTCTAAGTAGAATTTTAAAAGGACTTCTTGGAGCATTCCAAGGGAATTTTGATTTAGTGAATGCTGAAGTGAACTCCTAAGAAGCTTTCAGGATAATTTCAATTAATCTCTTGGAGGATTCCAAGAAAATTTGATGCGCAGTGCCAACAAATTTTTGTGTGATTAATTATGGAACGCTGAGGAGAGTTCCTAAGGAATTTAGATGAGAATTCCAGGATAATTCCGAGCGGAAAATTTAATAATTAAGAATTGGATGTGAATTGAAGATTGAATTCCAAAAGTTTTCTGGAGAGATTTATCAATTTTTTTTTTAAATGTCCTTCTGGATGGATTGACTTTTAGAATTACTTTAAAAGACACGGCTGAACTCAGTAGTTTAGAAGGAACAAACCTTGCTATTGAAATTGAACATGGGTTTTAGAATTTCTGATCGTTTGCTTTCGCCGCATACTGTAGGTGAAAACCTCTGTTCCAATAATCCATAAAACATAGCAAAATCTTCCGCCCGGAGTGCCCCCAATTTGTCATCTAAAATCTCTATTTCTCTCTCCCCCCCCAGATCAAGACGACCGCCGATGGGTGGGAATGTGGTGGGGTGGATTCCTCGTGTGCGGTATCCTTTTGATACTGGTGGCCATCCCGTTTTTCTCATTTCCCAAGGTAGGTCCCCAAAATTTATAGCCCATTTCTCCCCATCCCTTTTGTCGATCCCAAGGCATCCATTACCATCATACGTTCGACACATTCCGAAATATGGCCGCTTTCCATCGACATTGTCCGTCCCGAGCAATAATCCACTCTCATAATTCAATTCAGATTAATCGCCATCGTTCGGTTTATTTATTCACGCCTTTATTCAGGTCCTCACCAGGGAAAAGAAGAAAATCCGAATTGCCGAACAGAAGCTGCCCCAGTTGCAGCAATTATCGGCAAACAATTCCAGCAGCCTGACCCGGCCACCGCCCGCACAAAATCAATCACAGTCACATCAACTGCAGCAGCAACAACAGCAGCAGCAACAGCAGCAGCAGCAGCATACAATGGGCGGCGAAAGTTGCGGCGGTGGCCAATCGGGGCCGGGTGGAAAATCAAACGAGGATACCGGATATGGAAAGGATATTAAGGGTATGTGTCTGGCGGGCATTCATATAGGTGATGTGAATATGCTTTCAGGGCCGGAAATCAACTGGAATGATGTGTGTCTGCTTGAGAAATAATTCAGAGAATCTGACCAACTGCTGTTGATTGAATGCTAACGATTTCGTCCTCTCTTTCACTGACCGACAGACATCCCCCTGTCAATGTGGCGTCTCGTGACCAATCCGGTGTACATCGTTACCTGTCTGGGAGCGTGCATGGAGCTGATGATTGTTTCCGGCTTCGTCGTGTTCCTGCCAAAGTACCTCGAGACGCAGTTCAGTCTCGGGAAAAGCCAAGCCAGTGTCTTCACCGGATCGATTGCCGTTCCCGGCGCATGCATCGGGATCTTCATCGGCGGTTGCATCCTGAAACGGTTCCAGCTGAAACCGAAGGGGGCGGTCCAGTTCGTTCTGATTTCCAACGTGGTCTGCCTTTCGTGCTACGGGTTGTTGTTCTTTCTGGGATGTGAAAATCTCAAAATGGCCGGAACTACCATTCCGTACTACAACAGTTCGCCGGCACACAGCGTGGAACCGTTCCAGGTTAATCTAACCGCAGCGTGCAATTTCGGCTGCGAGTGCCACATGTACGATGTGGAACCGGTTTGCGGCAACAACGGACTGACCTACTTCAGTCCGTGTCATGCCGGCTGTACGGCGTTCTCTTCCAGTTCCAACTATACCAATTGTGCTTGTGAGTAGCTTAAATTCACTTAAATCCACTTAAATTTAACGATTGGTTTGTTTTTCAGGCGTTCAAGCGAACGTAACCAACGTGTACACCGGTGCCGAGGGAGCTCAGGCGCAAGCTCTGAACGCCCACGAAAACTTTGCCGAAGTAACCGTAGTTCCTGTGGCCACTGCCGGCGTCTGCAACAAGCCCTGCCGGACGATCTACCCGTTCCTGATACTGTTGTTCTTCATGACGTTCGTCGTTGCTTCCACGCAGATGCCTCTGTTGATGATAGTTTTAAGGTATTTTGCTACTCAAATGCCCTGCGAACCTTTTAAGATTCAAACAACCTCCCATTATTCCCGCCAGATCGGTTTCGGAGGAGGAGCGCTCGTTCGCCCTCGGAATGCAGTTTGTGATATTCCGCCTGTTCGGTTACATTCCGGCACCCATTGTGTTCGGCAATCTGATCGACTCGTCCTGTTTGCTGTGGAAGTCCACCTGCGGGGAGAAGGGCGGCCGTTGTCTGATTTACGACATCGAAAAGTTCCGCTACAAGTAGGGAAAGCTCCAATAAAAGGGCGGCAATCAATCTTATAATTGGGTTCTTTTTTTTCTAGATATGTGGGCCTTTGTGCGAGTATAAAGATTATTGCGCTGGCGATATTCATGATCGACTGGTGGTTGGTGCGCCGGCGGAAGAATTTGGACAAATTGAACCCACTGTCGGCCAACGAGTTGGTGGGATCGATTATCAGTTTGGATAAGCGTGAGTTGACCGTTTGATGAATTGATAGCACTTGTATTGATATCGTAATGAATTTCAGTGTTCGAAGAGAAGGCCAATCTAGACGGCCAAGCGGTTCCGTTCAGTGGGGAATGTATATCAGGTGATTCGATTGGAGATAACAACAGCAAACGGGTTCTGATTGCCAGCCGACATCTACGCAATGATTCCAAGTCTATTCAGTTGGAGTACAGGTGAGTCTCTTGTTATACATAGTTGTATAATACTAATACGAATTTAACCCTTATCCAATTTTGTCACATAACCGTGGGAGTTATTTTGAATCATGCAGCGGAAAAATTCGATAAGATATTTTGAGGAAATTTTATTTAATCCTTGTGGAGATTATGTCATGGACATTAGACTGATGCAAAATTTGAAATTTTCGCTCCACAGTGTTAAAACGGTTTCAAATCGGGTCCTGATTAGCCTCCGAAAGTTTAAACTCATTTGATAAGAAACGGACTTGGCACAAACCATTTGAAGTTTATATGGAAATTACTATGGGAAAACAAAACTTTTTGTTCATTGTCTTCTAGCCTTTTTACATATTGTACTGTTAACAAATTATATTGCTATTCTTATGGGAATTTTTATCAGCTACAACTTGGCAGAAAATTATTTTTCATTCAGCCAAACGTCAAATTAAATAGTTATTAATTGTTTAAGAGATTGATAATCTTATGGCAAGATTAAGCAACTGTATTGTGGGCAACACTGTATTCTGCAGTGTGACATAGTAGCCATGATTTTTGTCATCTATTCTACGTGCCATAAACGCCAATGTTGCCTGCTGAACAGTTGATTGAGCATAATCATAAGACATCAGTGACTTGAATCATTAATAATTTATGTTCCTTAAATTTGATCGAAAATTGAACTTCAACAAAGTTGTAGCTGAGAAAATTTTCAACAAGCTTAGCTATAATTTTCTAAAGTAGAGTAAACTGGTGAATTTTGAGATCTATATGAATCGAAATTATGGTTTCTCCATAGTAATTCCCATATAAACTTCAAAAGGTTTGTGACAAGCCAGTTTCTCACTAAATGAGTTCAAATTTTGGGAGGCTAATCAGGGCCCAATTTGGAACCGTTTGAGCACTGTGAAGCGAAAATTTCAAATTTTGCATCAGTCTAATGGACATATGATGTAGATGGCTTTAATTTTGCAGCAATCAGAGGAATTGCAAGAATGTCCCATTTGCAGTACTGTACATTCCCATTAGCATTTTTAGCGAAAATGAGTTATACATTAGAATCGATTCTCAAGTACCATCACTTTACAATGTACTCGATAAGATTTTTACTTTGATCTGAAAATGTCGCAAAAAATACCAACTATGTTATCCAACCCATAAGAGCCCATATCGAAACATCATAACGAAATATATGTACAACAGCGTTTTCTCAGCTTGCTGTTTTAACGAATGGGACAGCTATGCTGAAAAGGGCAGCTGTATCCATTGTATTTTCAGATACTCGTCATACCTTGTTTTTGAGTAACAGCAGCCGGCGCCGGTGGTGTAGTGGTAAGCGTGACTGCTTTCTCACCCCAATGGGTCTAGGTTCAATCCCAGCTGAGGTCGGTGGGATTTTTCGGAGGCATAAATATCTCTGGTCACGTCGTCCTTCGGAAGGGAAGTAAAGCCGTTGGTCCGGCTCCGGCGAGACAATTACTGTGTCGTACAGGTGGTGGGGTGGTTCAGGAGCTTCCACAAAGTCAACGGCGGTGCGTCTCATTATCCGGTGGCTTCCATTTGCGTGACGCGTAGCGATAGATAGACAACTGGCCATGCAGCGATGATCGATTATGAAATGACGAACTAGAACCACAAGCGATGGATCAACGGATGAATTTGTCAAGAGCGGGATCATACTTGCCAGAAACGACGGGTTGGAAGACCCCGTCACCAGGCCCGCAGACAGGACCGGGACGGCTGCAGATCGCTGGCTGGAATGGCTCGACTGTGGCGGGGATGGATCGAGGGCTTCCGTAATGCCAGCGGCGGTGCGTCCCAGTGGGCAATCAGAAGTTGATAATGGAAGCGTTGAAAAGACGGGAATGCTGGAAGTGATTGACGCATCAAGAATCGAAGTACTTAAATGAAAATTGTACTTACCTGGATAAGCGGCTTGGAAGGACCCTTCACCAGTCCCAGACACAGGACCGGGACGGCTGTTGGTCGCTGGCTGGAAAAGCTCGACTATGCTGGGAGGATCAGAGCCTTCCGTGATACCAGAAGTGTTGCGTCCCGGGGTTGAAGAGTAGGTGTAGTTATTGCTTTGTCGTAGAATTTACTCCATCATGTCGGTTTTCTCCGGATCTGGTCCGCTGGGGGAATCGACGTCCGATGAAGGAGTGGCTTTTGGTTGAGGCTTCCAAAAAATTACTTTAGTGTTGTCGCGGAATAGGACACCCTTGGGCCAGGTTGACGTCGAGAGGGCTCTTGACTTGAGGTCCGGGTTAAGTCCGATTTTCAAGGAAATGAACGTCATGTATTAACATCCTTTCCTTTTGCCACCACACGGACGACCTCGACATCTTCTGTAGCTAGGCGTTTCATTGCGAGATCTCGTACTTGACCGGTGGTGACATCACGAGAGATTCGTGACAAGTCCAGCCAGAACTTTGGTTCCTGTGGTGGCGCTGTAAATTGACCAAGCGATGGCGATAGGAATCCGCCTGTCCCGCACATTAGATCCTTTTGGTTCTTCACCTTAGGGTGGCTCGGTTCAGGCTTACTAAAAAGCCTACGATGTCGAGCAGTTCGTGTTGAAGGCCTGCTAGGCGTTAATGAGCTTGAGCGGAGAAGTTTGAACGGATCTCCTGATTGAGCTCAGACATAATGTCTGATTTTAATTTCTCGACAATCTCCTTGTGGCCACTGAGAGCAATTTCCTTCCCAGCTTCGTAAGCGCGTCGAACAGAAGTACAGAATCGGATGTCGTCCATAAGCTTCGTGCACGATTTGCACATCCAAAACAATTGCTTGTTATTGTTTTCACATGACCGACTCGTTGAAAATCCACCGAGAAAAGGCGGTGGGTAGAACTCAGTAGGCAACGCGTTCTTCGGGGGATAGCTGTATCTTCCGAATTAGAATCACCCATTTATTATCAGAATTCTTTTGGATTGTTTTCAGGATGCCCTTGGATTTTTCGACAGGATTTCCTTGGAATTCTTATCAGAACTTTTTGACGTAGGACTACGTCTATGATTTCTATATGGGGGTACACTTTGTGAAAACCGAAAATGGAACATTTAACAAAATTATGGAAGATTTTGAACGTTAATAACTCAGCTGTCCCTGGACCAATTTCAATAATTTTATCACCAATCATTCAGAAATATGTCTACACATCTTAAGTCTTATTTTTTTTCAAAATGTCACTATTAAAAATTGCACGAATGCGCAATTGTGGCTATGATTATTAAAATTGTCATCGATTGCTTGCGAAAAGCGATTACCCTAACACAGATTTCAAAGTTGAATTCCATCCGGTCTCACCAAACGGTGTTTGTTCAATCACCGCGTGGTGAGGGGTGGTGTTCTCCAGCACACAACGAAAGGCTCCCCGCAAGCAGCAAGCTATCAAGGCCAGGCATGGAAAATCATTTGCATTCATTTCATACATTCATTTACATTCATTTGCCTCTAACTTTTTTCATCAACAGCATTCCACAAAATGATGTAAAAAGCTTTTGTAGGTTTTGTTATAAGCTACAAGTTTTGGCCATCACTCAAATCTGTATATCTTATGCATCACGATCTAGGGTGGGCAGAACTTGTTACTGTTTTTCAGTGAATGTAAAATACAGTAGTGGCTTCTGTTTGCTCTGCTTCGTCATGGAGAAGAGATACGGATTTGACTTGTTAACAAAAGTTGTAGCTAATAATAAAACCTACAAAAGCTCTATAAATCATTTTGCGAAATGCTGTTGAAGAAAAACGTTAGATACAAATGAATGCAAATGAATGCACGAAATGAATGCAAATGATTGTCCATACCTGATCAAGGCTGGCCTCAACCGCTGATCAGATTCAGTTCCAATCACCGTGTGTGGTGGTGGCAGCAGCAGTGCTTTCGGCGCGTGGCGTTGAACATTGTACAAGTACACAACGAAAGGCTGCCTGCAAGTAGCGAGCTGCAGCCCACATGAGTATCGATAGAAGGAGGAAGAAGCCGCACCGCTTTTGATCGGAATCAGTAGCTCTTCGTGAGTCACTGTGGGCCATCTATGTCAAGCTCGTCATACTAAAGAGTATAAACGGAGAGAACTCCGCTCAAATTCCTATTCTTATACCAAGCACAAACTCCTGCTGCAATCGGCATAACATTTTTTTTATATTATACCACTAAGTCCTACGTCACCATTGCGTACAACTCCATAGGGCTGTCCCTTGTAGATTTTTTTCTTTTCCATGTTCAGATTGATTTTTGGAATTTCATCTAAATTTTTCAAAATTCCTCTCGAATTTTCCATAAAATGACACTCAATCAAAGTATTTTGTTACTTCATATTTTTGATGTTCACGATGATCAGAGTTGGGATGAAATGCTATACTAATGTCAACATGAAGCTTTGATACGATACTTTTGACAGTGAGCGTGCATAACGGAATATTCGCGATGATCGATTCTATTCATCGATTTTCTCTTTGCTACAACGAAACAATTTTCTAGAATTTTTTCAATGCAGAGTTATAACAGGTTGTATTGGCTATCAAAAGCAACAGAAAACGCACCAAGAAACGTTAATTCTAGCGAGTTAATAGCAAAAGAGTAAATCGACGAAGAGAATCGATCATCGCTTTTACATACATAAGGTCACTGTCGATTTATTAGCTTGAGAAAGTTCGGTAGTGATAAACCACAGGACTGCAACGCCTGTCATCTGCGAACAACTCGAGTGAAGCCAAATTTATCTGGTGCTCTGGTGCTAATTTGACAGCTTCTCCTTTTCCTCTATGATTAAGCTTGGTACATGTTGCGCCGCGTTGCGGAAAATAGATAGAGTTTTCTAGATAACGTTATAGGAAAGCATGATTCACGCAAATTGTGCTCGTCAATTCGAAAACAACTAATTTTATTTTTCTTCATTGCGGGAAAATAAGAATGGTTTTGAAGGCATTACATTTGTTGCCACCTTGCCGCATTTAATGTTACATGATTGGAGTTTAAATATGTTATGGAACACCAGCGCTGCTGATGTTCTCGGCAGTTTCAAGAACTGGATCGCATTGCAGGGGGCTGTGCAAAATATCATGACACTCACGTGACACTCGTCTACGCATCAACCGACTATCGCTGACAGAACGTTTTGTCAGGCAGTGAGAGGTAGAGCCATGGCAAACAACAATCACCAGTAATGGTCGTTACTCACAAGCAAAACTTTACACTCGCTGCTGATGATGAAAAGCACAACGAATCAAAGAGAAGAATTGTGTTGTACGATCATGAGAAAAAGCGAAACGACAGAAGAAAATGAAAACAATGCCTGCGCATTCCAGGTTCGTCTCGGCAGGCGCGACTGTGTATGTTACAAACAAAGCAGGCAACATTAAACGGAAGCTGTTGGGCTCACTCACCAACACACTCACATATGCAAGCAAAGCAGCAACTGCTTCAAAACGAGCACAGATGAGTGTCGTGGATGTCGGGAATGACCAGATCGGCGATGGATCACAACCGAAGACGACATTCACCAGTTACTTTTTACTTCTTTCGTCAACTTGATGGATGGTCATGGAGAGAGCTTCGACGAGCACATTGATAGGAATGTACAAAGCGTTACTACCATCAGCTGTTTGACGATCGTGATTGTGATAGATCGCAACTCTGGATTTGAGGACATACTTCAAATCTCCCCATCCACCAATGTATGAGTTAGGTAAACGAGTGCGCATTTGATTAGTATTGTTGCATTAATGGTTCTTCACTCAATTTCAACTTCTGTTCACCGTTACATCAATGCAATGAATTATGCGGAAAGTCGGTAAATAGAAACTCTTTTAATTTGACCCTTTAGCTTGTCACCCATGGCCGTTGTCGCCATCCGCTCACTACGAAACTGAGAGTGGCCGGCACTTTACGTAGATACTAGCAATATGGCCTGCCATATGCCTTCAGATGACCGCCACTGCACTAAACTGAAAAGGACTGTTGCAATATTTTCAAAATACCAGCTTACCGTAGACACAAATGTTCATCCCTGTCAAAAGTAGATCAGCCAACAACTTATGTTTTACAGTTGTAAAATAAGGACTGAAGACAGATTTGATTTTTAGAAACATCAAAAAATCTCTTTCAGTTAGCGAACGTTTAGTGTAGTAGCGCTCAGCTGAAGGCATATGGCGGACAATATTCCTAGTATCTACGTAATGTGCCGGCCACTCTCAGTGTCGTAGTGAGACGATGGCGACAACGGCCATGGGTGACAGGCTAAAGGGTCAAATTCAAAGCGTTTCTATTTACCGACTTTCCACAAAATGTATTGCATCAATAACAAAATAGTAGTAATGAGTTGAATTCCAAGGTTGCCTCAGAACTTCTAAGGCGAATACCATGAGGATTGTGAGTAGATGTGCAGCAGAATTAAAAAAAATTCCAGCATAATTTTGAGATAAATTTCCATTCATTTCCATTGTAGTCTGGAACCGAATTCAAAAGGGAATTCTGAAAATAACTCAGATTATAATTCCAAAGAATTTCTTATGAGTATTTCAAGCCAGCTGAGACAAAAACTCCAAACGCATCCTGACAAAGATGTCCGAGGATAGTTCCTAACTAAGGTGAATTTCATTTTTTTTATTTAAAGGGAATCACGAGGAAGATTCCCAGGGTACTCTAATAAGAATATTGATATTTCTTGTTTATTTCAACGACGTCAATTTCGTCCTCGACGGTCCACGACTGTCGTTCGCAGACGACATGAAAATCTATCTCCGAATCCGAGCCATCGCTGACTGCCACCTTCTCCAACTCCAACTCAACGCTTTTGCTAATTGGTGCCAACTGAACCGCATGGTTGTAAATCCAACAAAATGTTTAATAATCACGTTCTCACGGAACAAACATCCAATTACATTCAGTTGACGTTGACGTACATCGTGTGAATCACATTAAAGATCTGGCAGTCATCTTAGATTGTCAACTCACATACAGCCAGCATATCTCGTACGTGATCTACAAGGCATCCAGAACGCTTGGCTTCTTTTTCAGGATAGCTAAATGTTTCAAGGACATCTACTGCTTAAAGTCGCTTTACTGCTCCCTCGTCCTGTCGGTGTTAGAATACTGCTGGAATCCCAATTACCAAAACAGTGTACAGAGAGTAGAGTCTATTCAACGATGATTCATCTGGTTTGCCCTTCGACGATTGCCTTGGAGGGATCATCATCGCCTTCCAAGCTACGAAAGTCGATGCCAGTTAATTCACCTGGATCCTTTGTGAAGTCGACGTTAACGTTCAACCACGAGCACTCCGTAAAAACGCAATGCTGAGGATACCTTTTCGTCGTACAAACTATAGTTATCAATGGGCTACAAAGGGTTTTCAATCGTGTTGCTTCCTTATTTGATTTTCACTTGGGACGCGAGCCGCTGCGTCAGAGATTTCGTGATCTATTTTTAAGAACTAGGAATTAAGTTGGACTTCACGGCCTTTGCAGCAGCTTGTTACTTCTTGACTATATTGTATTTCCTAGTTTTGCTTAATCCATCATTAGGACTAAACCCAGTCTGTTGATGTAGAACCAAAGAAACAATATAAAAAACTTTTGAGAGCAAGGTAAATTTGTGGAGAACTGAAGAGAACTCCGAGATAGAGCGGAAATCCAAGGTAATTCAGCAGAAGATTTCATGTCGTTACTTTTTGCAAAGAAGGGTATAAATTAGACTGACTTGTGCTCCCCAGTGCTTAAACGGTTCCTAATTAGCCTCCCCATAATTTGAACTTCTTTGGTAAGAAACTGACTGTGTACAAACCATTTGAAGTTCGCATGGGGATTACTATGGGAAAAGCAAATTGAAACATAATAATGTTTTTGTTGTAAGCAATATGCTCGTAAAAGGTGAAATAGTAAATAGTATTAAATTATAATCTCCACGGAATTTTCTCAGAACTCATGATGGAGTAAATAAATAATCCAATCGCCAGGCATATTCCAAACCAGCTAACACCCATTCCCCTTTCTCCCCATTCCAGGTACGATGACGGCCCAGCGCAGCACTACCACCGGCCCCGGAAGCACATCCGCAGCAATTCCTGCGACATCAAGATCCAACGGTCCAACTCGGCCACCAATCGGGAAACGGACTTCCACGATTGGAAGCTGAAGCGCTTCATGCGGCACCATACGCGGAACAACTCCCGGGATCTGGATCAGGAACACTGCTGCCGGCAGCAACAGAACGCCACTTCCCACCTGGGTCGTTGGATCGCCCTGCACAACAGCAGCAACGAGCAGCAACCTCCGACGTCCAACATCCGGTACATCCTGAATCACCTCAAGAACAACAACGTAGACGGCCATAGCAAGCTGAACTACAGCAACAGCTGCAGCGGTGGTGCGCCTTGCTCGGGTCCGAAGAAGAAACGTCACACGAGGAACTACTCCTATGGGCAGGAATTCACCTTCCTGCCGAACAATGTCATCATCCGGCTGGACAATGACATTGCGAATAAGTTCCTAGCGAACAACGGAGGCGGAACCAGTTCCAGCAGGAAGAGTTCCTTCTCGCACGATGGCAATCTGTTGAAGAACGTGAACAAACTGAACAACTGCTCCGGCGCTGCAGCTGGCGTGGGAGCCGTGAGCGATCTGACCGAAGAGCTGGAATCAAAGTACGCGAAGGGATCGTCCCATAGCTATGGGCACTCGAGAAACAACTCCAAAGACTTGAACCTCCTGAACGCGGGTTTGGGGGAGACCAGCGGCGTCGTTGGCAGTAGCGGGATCCTAGGGGGAATCAAAGCCCTGATCGAAGACTCCAACAGCATCCTGAGGCATCGGCGAACGAACTCGAAGGATCTGAAGTACAGCGGCTACCAGCCGTGCGAGCCAATCAGCAGTGCTAGCAGTTGTAGCGTAAGTAGTAGTAATATTAGGAAATTGTCCGCAAGCGGAGACGGTGACCGCCATCATCATCAGTTGGGTCACCATTTGGGACAGGTGGTAACGGCGGCGACGACGGCAACGGCGACGGCGGCCCCAGCTACTGGTCAGACGGAGTCGCTACAACTGTTGCTGGACAAGTCATCGAATCTGCTGGAGGAAAGCCGCCAGGAAGCCGGTCCTACGTCGACGAACGTTTAGCCGGCTGGTCGGATGGTGGTGATTCCAGAAGACGACGGATGCCGTCATGCCATACGCAATTTCCGTTTCCTCCTGAAGATTTTATTTTAGCAGCCGTTTCCTGCTTTCGAAAGAGCTGTGTTTCTCTGCAACAATCAAACAACATCATTCCCCGTGAGCGCGCGTCCCGGTGATTTATTTTGTTTTGGTTTCCTCCGTATATTTACCTAAGTTTGGTTTTTTTAATAAAATAATTTTGGAAAAAAAATAACACGCAAAGAAAGGTTTCACAAGTCGGTAGGAACGTTCTGCTCCTCGGCGGACGGGGTAAACAGTAGAGTAATTACGTATTTAGAACCAATAGGAATCCGAGACTGCATTTTTTCTGTGTTAAGAGCATTTTTGGTAGTTTGGCGACAGGCAGGAATGATATTTTTTTGTTTGTATTTCGATTCGAAGTTATTAGATAGGAAGCAGCGATATTTGGAGATGGAAGGCGTTTGAAATCTTCTAGAGCAGAAGTTTTAGTGCAGTCGTGTATGCTTTTTAAGAGGTTGCAGCTCCGTAACGTTACGGGATGTAAGATCTACCACCGATTCCTAGTCTTGACTACTTCAAACTAGGTGATCAGGATTTTTCAGTTTTCAAAGGAACAAATTTTAATCCTTGTTACTTTTTATGTTTTGTGAAAAGTGATATGTCTTCGAATTGCCTGGACCGAGGATAATCTTGGAACAAGGAAAATGGAGTTAGTCTTCATCTATGTGATTCCTAATCTTCTATTCGTTGTTTCCTAGTTTGAAGTGGTTGAAACTAGGGTTCTGATCACAGAACAGAAGGGGAAGTGTAAACAAATATCAAAAAGTGGTACGATTTCCTGCTCAACAAACGATGCGTTGTGGAGGTGTTCTACACGGATTTTCTATGCGCACTCACACTATTATAGAGATTAGTGACGTTTAAAGCACGCACACTAACAGAGGTCTATCGCCGTGTAAAGTTGTTTATTGTTTTCCTCGGGATAACCTCAAAATGTATGTAATTCAATCTGTCAAAATGAGTTTGACAGTAGTTTGTTATGTATTTTCCTCGGATTTTCACTACCACAGTTTCACACAGTGCACCAATACAACCAGGCGTGAAAATCTCTAGTACGCTGCCTATCTTATGTGTGGGCAGAAGATGCCTTCTACAGCTAGATGCATTAGTGTTCTCCAATGAAAAGTGGGGCCACTTTCTGATCCGAAGTTCCACTTCTATTCTGTGGTTCTGATGCATGGCCATTATCGGTGTCATTGCTTAATTTTGTTGCTAAAGAATTCAATTTTGACTGACAAAGGGGCGCGCCTTTGAAGGGTGCTATCACTCTTCGAAGGGTATAAATAGCGGAACCTCACAATTAGAATCGATTCCTTGCGATGAAGACAAGAATGACCACTGTATCAAAACGCGAATACTTCATCAGTTCTCAATGATGATAGAGTAATAAGACATGCATTAAACTAAGGACACGGGATGTACTATCAATATATCAAAGTACTGGTCGCAGTGGCTTTATGTCCCGAACAGAAAAAAAGGGGGCAGGTTCCAAGCAGCTGTCGGGAGACGTTACAAAAAGGTCCCGAAGATCGAAAATATTCCAAAGATGATTAAATAAGCTATTATGAGACTATGTCCGAAGACAACAAATCAAGAAGTCTGGCAACTCTTCCATTTTCTCATACGAACGCTATGAGACAGGTACAATCGTGTTATCTGCCGCTCAAATATTACATCCTCAGAAGAAGGGTTTGTGTATTTGCTCATTTTTCTATGCGTTGCTTCCACCTTCACTAAAGCGCAGCGCCATTGTATCTGTCGCTTGGATTCTGGCAAAGTTGCCAGTCTTCTTGATTTGTTGTCTTCGCTATGTCCCAATTACCGGGCTGAATTTAACTCGTAGTTGATATCCGACCGTTGTTATTCCTTACGGACTAGAAGATAAATTTTGACATCGATGGCTGAGCTCTGCTAGAAAATTGGTCTATCGATATCGCAGGAATTTTCGAACATGGAAAATAACATTCGAAATGCATCGGGTTAAATTAAACTTGGCAAATGGAACACAGTCTTAAAGCCTCTTGAAGCGTTGGGAATTGCCTAATCTTTCATAAGCAGTTTCTTAATTCTACCAGCAAATTTCTGAACATCCCTCAACATACCCTATAGGTCATTTGAGCCATCTCCTAAAGATACCCTGAACTTTCCTTGAAATTCATCGAAACATCTAATAGAAGGGGCCAGACCTTTATCTGCATGACTTTTAAGCTTTCCTATGAGGTGTCTTGAACTTTCCTTGGAAAAATCACTTTATCTCTCTTCCAAAATTTTCCTAAAATTAATCAGCGTTTTTCATTTGAAGAATCCTCAATCCTCCAATGAAGGTTACCAAGATTTCCTTTGAAACTTTTACTGGAGGTACCCTGAAGTTTTCCTGGAGGTTTCTGGACTTACTCTTAATGTTACCCCGATTTTGTTCTATGCCCCTTGAAAGCTCCTAAAGCTTATTCTGGACGTATCCTGAGTAGCTTTGATAGGTATTTCGAATGCCTCCTGCATGTCCGCTGAAGTTGTATTCCCTGAGAAGATGCCTGGACTTTCCTCAAGACGTACTAATCAAAAATCATCCGCAAATCTTCTTTCACTGAAACGATCATATTTTTTGAATCCATTTATTTGTCAAGGTTCAATTGCGTTAGCCTTTCGGAGCCAAGATTTCTTATGACTAAAGTTAGTAGAACGGGGTCGAATACTCGCGGCTTACTCAAAATTGACCCTTTGTCTGTATCTTGGGATCAATTTGACCCCAGGCAACTGATTATTCATCAAAAAGATTTTTTTCCTCTGACAAAGTCTTCTTGATATGCCTGCCTCTTAGTTGAGACATATTCCGAATTTTATTGAATACCCGTTGTGAAGGCTTTTCGCAATGAACTTAGCTTTATTTTAGAAGTACAGCCAAAGGGTTAAGGACTACAGTTTTCAAACAGGTTGGACGTGGACTAGGGACAAGTTAAATCGATCCTAATGTTTTTTGACGTAGGATTACGTCTTTCGGCAACATATTGGGAGTGCAATTAAAAAAAAAACACAAAATCGACCGCGTTACGAAAAGTGGTCAGGTTTTGACCACTTATAGCTCTGTCAATAGTGGATGGATTTTAATTCTAAACAAGCCAATCGATTGGTAATTTTTCTACGAAGCTGCTTAAATGAATACTTTATCAATTTTCAATAGGTCACTATTGAAAATTACACAAATGTCCAATTCTTGCAATGGTGATCAAAATTATCACTGGTTGCCTGCAAAAAGTGCTTTCCCTAACATAGTCACCAAATATTGATACCGAGCACGTAATCCTACGTCAAATCTACCGTTGAGTCTTGGATACAATCTCTTACTTTTTTTTTGATCTTCAATTGGATGCATAGGGGAATTTACGTATTCTCGGCAACCTAAGCAGCGACCTTCTTTCTATAGCCTTTTTCTCTAAGGAACGCACACATATGCAGTATTGGTTTGTTTACAATCTTTTGCTGCCAGCTGCTCTAACAATTTCAGTCGAAAGAATTGTCAAAAACTGTTTTGAAACGCTTTTACAAAGCTCCAATCTTCTCTAGTGAGAGCGAGTATTGTCGGCAACCAGTTTTTCTTCGGCAACCGTTCCATTTGAACTGCATGTAAATCTTCTGTTCTATTATCGGCAACTCGAAATCAGCTACAATTTGTAGTGCGTGTGTTGCATTTCAAGAAAACCTTGCTAGATTGCTTTTTCTCAGTGGTAAAAATATAGTCAAATTGAAGCTGAAAGCATAAAGAATCTTTTGCATGCATTCAGCGAAGTGTTTTCGTAAGAAAATCCAGTGAAAATAGTGTTTCAATTTGGGTTGCCGAAAATAGTCTGTCATGCCGAAGCCGTCATTTCCCCTATGAATTCACCCAATTTTAATTGTCGATTCTGGGTGAGTTCAAATTAGATTTTCACAAAAGCTACTCAAATATTGTTTATAATTAACAATTTTTAAATTATCCATCGTTTTCGCTCCATTAATTAGACAGTAATTTATGAGAATATCATTTAACCACATTAATCTCATCTCGAATCAAACGAAAAAGTGATCATTCCTGCACTACCATGCAACAGTTCATTAGTACGTAGTCCATATTTTAGTAAACCGTTCTCCTCAAATACGTCAATAAACGAACAGAAGAATCCATACAGTATCGAACAGCAGGAAGGGAATCTCAAAATTACAAAAAATAAACACAAAAATGCAAACAACCGAGAAAAGGGATAATCTCAAGCAAACAAACAACCTTCCAAATATTCCTAATAAAGTTTAAAACACAGAATATTTAGTAAGCAAAAACCTAGTGCTACAAATACATTTTATAATCTACGTTTAAACAAGTAAACAAGTAAACAAACAAAAAATAATAGGTGATAACTGATGCCAGTTATATTAAATCAATTCAAAGCAGAACAGGAGCCGGACCCCACAGACTAAAACAAAATCGACACAAACTCACAGAAAAAAAAACAGGCAACACTACACTGAAAAAAAAGTAAAACATTATTTTTATTTCCCTATACAAATTGCCTATTGCAGGAGTTCAAACGCTAAACAGAATGTTATCACTTAGCTGAGAGAAGCAAAACAAAAAACAAAAGTCACTGTTTATCTGCTATTGCTTGAGGGCAAGGAAGAAAGGAAGTCAATTTGGGGCAAACAAACAAAACATGGTAGGAAATTTAATTTTTATTTTACGATGTTAACCGTAAACAATTGTAGGGAAAATCAAGATGGATTATATATTAAAAATAAAGAAAATAACGAGCATGAACCAGGAGCTGTGAATTAACTAGGTAGAAACGATCGTTGTTGGATAGTGTATGATGGGATTGAGCAGGAGTGAGTGAAGAGTTTTAGCCGAATTTGAAGCCTGATTCAAGTTGTTGGGATTGAAAAACAAAACAAACAAAAAATACTAAAATTGAGAATGGAACAGTAGGCCACGGTGAGAGAGGATCGGACGGACGATTCGTTTCCAAAAGTTTTAAAACTAGACAAACAGAGTAGGCGCGTAGGTTAGTGATGACTGGATGTGTTTACAAGTGAGAATCTAGTAGTGATTGATTTTCCGATAGCTAGTGAATTAAGGCGCTTGGTTTAGTTTTCTCCTTTGGAGGAAACGCATTTTCACCTAGTAGAGAACAAGTTTAGTGTGAATTATTTTTTTTTCAGAATATTGATTGTCTAAATTAGAAGGTAAAAGCCGCTGAGCACGTTCGCCACGCAATATTTGTAGACTTCGCACTGTACTAAGTAGCTGTGTGCGTTTACTGCTGCGCAGTCGAAATTTAGTGATTCTATTGCGCAGCATGTAGGCCAAACATAAAGTAGCACATGTGAGCTTTGTTTCCACTAAAACAAAAATAACTAGTTCGTTTCAATCAAAAATCGTAGAATTGTGCCGTGCGTTTAAACAGTTTTGAATTCCATTCAAATCAACTAGAAATAATTACTAATTTGGCAACACTGTACTTTAACCATATATTTAAAATTTAAAACTTTTACCAACGGTGAGGAATGCTTTCGCATGGTAACAAATGGGAATCGGAACACTGTGAAGATAGGAAAAGCAAACATATCGTGCAATATAACGCAATAGTACACAAAACAGCAACTGAGAGATTTAGAAACTCATTTCAATTACCAGATCTGAAGATTTTTTTTCCCACTACAACAAAGTCAGAAAGCAATGTTTCAGCAAAGCTGTATATTGTTATCTTCGTCTTCGCCAATTGGTCGTCGTGGTGAGTAAACAAATTTGAATTTATTTGGCCAAAACAGCACCCTTTTTGCACACGTATATGTACACACAAAATGGATACTCACTCAAATAAATGCAAAAA